GATAAGTTTAACCTTTGTTCACTACTGTACTGTAAATAACATTATTAAAAAGGCTGATGAAACAAAATGGAGTATTATTATGAGTGATATTTAACCAACACCAAATGTTTACACTAAGGCCATGGTAGAAGTAATTTACATCTTAAGAGCAGATAACTTGTGTTTAATATCTATAAAAGTGGCATTTGTCACTTGTCTTTATTTCTGCTACATTCATAGAGTTTGTTCAAGTGGTTTTATATTGATGTATATCAATGTATTCAAGTTTGTGTGTCACATTTACCTTCTGTTAAAGTCATTCAAACATTTATTGAATTCTGTTTTTTTCATGCACAAGTTTATGACGTTTGAGACGACCGCTGCGGGAGAAACATTTCCCACATTCCTCACATTCAAACTCCTTTATACCATTGTGTAGTACAAGAATGTGTTTCTTGAGATTACCCTTTAGTGCAAAATGTTTCCCACATTCCTCACATTCAAACTTCTTTATACCACTGTGTCCAAGAATGTGTATCTTGAGAGCACTCTTCTGGGAGAAACATTTCCCACATTCATCACATTCAAATTCCTTCACACCATTGTGTTCAAGAATGTGTGTCTTGAGATTACTCTTCTGGGAGAAACATTTCCCACATTCCTCACATTCAAACTCCTTTATACCACTGTGTCCAAGAATGTGTGTCTTTAGAGTACTCTTCCGGGAGAAACATTTCCCACATTCCTCACATTCAAATTTCTTCACACCATTGTGTTCAAGAATGTGTCTCTTGAGATTACTCTTCTGGGAGAAACATTTCCCACATTCCTCACATTCAAATTCCTTCACGCCATTGTGTACAAGAATGTGTGTCTTGAGAGTACTCTTATGGGAGAAACATTTCTCACATTCCTCACATTCAAACTCCTTTACACCATTGTGTACAAGAATGTGTGTCTTGAGAGTATTCTTATGGGAGAAACATTTCCCACATTCCTCACATTCAAACTCCTTCACACCATTGTGTACAAGAATGTGCCTCTTGAGAGTACTCTTATGGAAGAAACATTTCCCACATTCCTCACATTCAAACTCCTTCACACCATTGTGTACAAGAATGTGTGCCTTGAGATGACCCTTCTGGAAGAAACATTTCCCACATTCCTCACATTCAAACTCCTTCACACCATTGTGTACAAGAATGTGTGTCTTGAGAGTACTCCTATGGGAGAAACATTTCTCACATTCCTCACATTCAAACTCCTTCACACCATTGTGTACAAGAATGTGTGTCTTGAGAGTACTCTTCTGGGAGAAACATTTCCCACATTCCTCACATTCAAACTCCTTTATACCATAGTGTACTGCAAGAATGTGATTCTTAAGATTACCCTTTAGGGCAAAATGTTTCCCACATTCCTCACATTCAAACTTCTTTATACCATTGTGTCCACGAATGTGTAGCTTGAGAGTACTCTTCCGAGTGAAACATTTCCCACATTCCTCACATTCAAATTCCTTCACACCATTGTGTTCAAGAATGTGTCTCTTGAGAGTACTCTTCCGGGAGAAACATTTCCCACATTCCTCACATTCAAACTCCTTCACGCCATTGTGGTCAAGAATGTGTGTCTTGAGATTACTCTTCCGGGAGAAATATTTCCCACATTCCTCACATTCAAACTCCTTCACACCATTGTGTCCAAGAATGTGTGAATTGAGATGAGCCTTCTGGGAGAAACATTTCCCACATTCCTCACATTCAAACTCCTTCACACCATTGTGTGCAAGTAAATGTGTCTGAAGAGTAGACTTGAAGCCAAACTGTTTGCCACATTCCTCACAGGAGAACTTTTTATCTCTGCTTGACATTGTGAACGTCTACTTAGTTACACTTGGACTTGAGATGTAACATCACAGTATCTGAAACAAAATATTTTGCCTTAGATGATATTCTTATAAAAGTACAATTTATAAATGAAAACTACAAGTGACTAAATCAATTTGTGTAAAATAAGAGTAAAAATAAAATAAAAATATAAAATAAAAAGGTTATATTAATCTACACCGCAAAGATGCCGGAAACCCAGCTTTATGAAGTGAGACAGATTGTATGAGTATGGAAACACAGAAGAAGGCAGAGCATTCAACAGTGTGAGGAAAGAAGGATGTACTATAATGGGTTATTATAGTGTGACCCACAGTCACACAGACACAGTTTGGCTGTGTGAGTAAAGAAGGATGTACTTTTGTACTATAACGGGCTATTATAGTGTGACCCACATCCACACAGACCCAGTTTGGCTGTGTGAATAAAGAAGGATGTACTATAACGGGTTATTATAGTGTGACCCACATCCACACAGGCACAGTTTGGTTGTGTGAGTAAAGAAGGATGTACTATAATGGGTTATTATAGTGTAATCCACACAGGCACAGTTTGGCTGTGTGAGTAAAGAAGGATGTACTATAACGGGCTATTATAGTGTGACCCACATCCACACAGACACAGTTTGGCTGTGTGAGTAAAGAAGGATGTATTATAATGGGTTATTATAGTGTGACCCACATCCACACAAACACAGTTTGGCTGTGTTAGTAAAGAAGGATGTACTATAATGGGTTATTATAGTGTGACCCACATCCACACAGGCACAGTTTGGTTGTGTGAGTAAAGAAGGATGTACTATAATGGGTTATTATAGTGTAATCCACACAGGCACAGTTTGGCTGTGTGAGTAAAGAAGGATGTACTATAACGGGCTATTATAGTGTGACCCACATCCACACAGACACAGTTTGGCTGTGTGAGTAAAGAAGGATGTATTATAATGGGTTATTATAGTGTGACCCACATCCACACAAACACAGTTTGGCTGTGTTAGTAAAGAAGGATGTACTATAATGGGTTATTATAGTGTGACCCACATCCACACAGGCACAGCTTGACTGTGTGAGTAAAGAAGGAGGTACTATAACGGGTTATTATAGTGTGACCCACATCCACACAGACACAGCTTGACTGTGTGAGTAAAGAAGGAGGTACTATAACGGGTTATTATAGTGTGACCCACATCCACACAGGCACAGCTTGACTGTGTGAGTAAAGAAGGAGGTACTATAACGGGTTATTATAGTGTGACCCACATCCACACAGGTGCATTGCCAGTTTGGCCAGTATATGTATGATGTACTTATAACGGAAGTTATTTTATAGGTGACCCATATCCACACAGACACAGTTTGGCTGTGTGAGTAAAGAAGGATGTACTATAACGGGTTATTATAGTGTGACCCACATCCACACAGACACAGTTTGGCTGTGTGAGTATAGAAGGATGTACTATAACGGGTTATTATAGTGTGACCCACATCCACACAGACACAGTTTGGCTGTGTGAGTAAAGAAGGATGTACTATAATGGGTTATTATAGTGGGACCCACAGTCACACAGACACAGTTTGGCTGTGTGAGTAAAGAAGGATGTACTATAACAGGTTATTATAGTGTGACCCACATCCACACAGACACAGTTTGGCTGTGTGAGTAAAGAAGGATGTACTATAATGGTTTATTATAGTGTGACCCACATCCACACAGACACAGTTTGGCTGTGTGAGTAAAGACGGATGTACTATAACGGGTTATTATAGTGTGGCCCACATCCACACAGACACAGTTTGGCTGTGTGAGTAAAGAAGGATGTACTATAACGGGTTATTATACTGTGGCCCACATCCACACAGATACAGTTTGGCTGTGTGAGTAAAGAAGGATGTACTATAACTGGTTATTATAGTGTGGCCCACATCCACACAGACACAGTTTGGCTGTGTGAGTAAAGAAGGATGTACTATAACAGGTTATTATAGTGTGACCCACATCCACACAGACACAGTTTGGCTGTGTGAGTAAAGAAGGATGTACTATAACAGGTTATTATAGTGTGACCCACATCCACACAGGAAACACAAAGTTTGGCTGTGTGTGTGAGCAAAAGAAGGATGTGATTATAACGGAAGTTATTATAGTGTGATCCACATCCACACAGACAGTTTGGCTGTGAGGTAGAAGGATGTACTATAACAGGTTATTATAGTGTGACCCACATCCACACAGACACAGTTTGGCTGTGTGAGTAAAGAAGGGTGTACTATAATGGGTTATTATAGTGTGACCCACATCCACACAGACACAGTTTGGCTGTGTGAGTAAAGAAGGATGTACTATAACGGGTTATTATAGTGTGACCCACATCCACACAGACACAGTTTGGCTGTGTGAGTGTAGAAGGATGTACTATAACGGGTTATTATAGGCAGATTCAACATCCAACAGATGTATTGCCGCTTTCTGGGTTGCTAGTGAGAAACAAAAGACAATTATATTGCGCTATTACAGGTGACCCACATCCACAGCTAGGGACAGTTTGGCTGTGTGAGTAAAGAAGGATGTACTATAACGGGTTATTATAGTGTGACCCACATCCACACAGACACAGTTTGGCTGTGTGAGTAAAGAAGGATGTACTATAACGGGTTATTATAGTGTGACCCACATCCACACAGACACAGCTTGACTGTGTGAGTAAAGAAGGAGGTACTATAACGGGTTATTATAGTGTGACCCACATCCACACAGACACAGTTTGGCTGTGTGAGTAAAGAAGGATGTACTATAACGGGTTATTATAGTGTGACCCACATCCACACAGACACAGTTTGGCTGTGTGAGTAAAGAAGGATGTACTATAATGGGTTATTATAGTGTGACCCACATCCACACAGACACAGTTTGGCTGTGTGAGTAAAGAAGGATGTACTACAACGGGTTATTATAGTGTGACCGCTGTGCCTCCAACTCGGCCCATCAAATACCAACACGGACCATCTCGGATAACCAACCTTTAACTCAAACATTCTAATGTATGTTTATATCAACGACATAACATAAAACATTTATTACCTTTACCACGAGGGAGGGAGGAAGGACCACAAATTAACATTTACTCACAAAATTAACAACAATAAACAAGACGGCCACCTTGGTTGATGTCGACCTGCTACACCTTGTCCGATTCTCTCTCTTATCTTTCAGTAATTACAAGTTTTCATTATTAATACTATAATAAAAGCATTTTATTTATAAATGATACATAATATAAATAAATTATACTTTAATTATAATGTTTTATTGTTGATTAAATTCCCACTAATAGATATATATTAATATTAAACTAAACTTAAGTCAGTGGCTGGAGAACCGAATAGCTTGACAACATTCACAATTTTACTAAAATAAATTTAAACAATAACATTTTGTGTTGAACTATTTTAAGTTTATTTATTAATATTTTATTAATATATAACACTACAGTATATAGAATCAGTAAACGAACGACTCCGTGGAACTAATTGTGTCGGTTAATGGAGGGACCACTGAAGATATTTTAGCGACCCTCCCTGGTGACAACCTTAACCTGACATGGGACAACACTCCACTATCCACCTATTTGAACCTTTATTAATGTGGAACAAGTCCATTATAAGAACAATTCACTGGACAATACTCACAGCAGTAGGTATAACCTGTAATATTTGATCACTAACTTGAACTATCATCATTATTGCTGTGGAATGTTCCTAAAAGTACAGTAATTATTTACCTATTATACAGTACAGCATTAATTTAATCCCAAGATTGATGCCAAAAAACTATATTTAAGTATAACTTAACCCAAATAAATTACCCCATTTGTTTGTAAAGTTTCCTGGCTTTTCCATGCAGTTGACACCCCAATAGTCTATGTTATTTATAAAACGTACATGAAGGCCTTTTAAAAAATACGGGCAAAGCCTAAGTAATCTACTTTAAATATCTAATTGTTTCAAAAAGTCATTAACATAATAACTAATTTGTGAACCCAGATTTAAAATCAGGTAAAGTAGTACCCTGTACCTTTGTAGGATATTTAAACTATTTTTTTACCCCAAGTGCTGAAGACAAAGGTATTAGGTCAGGAATATTTGACAAATATTTTGACAACGTGAAACTAACTTCATACAGTAAAGATGGTCAACATATTTAAGACCATCCATAAAGGCCTTTTAAAACTTACGGGCACAGCGTAATCTACTTAAAATATCTAATTATTTCAAAGGTCTTTAACACAATTACTTGAATTTTTAAACTGTGATCCCAGATCCTTAATAAAAACTAAAACCACAAAGATATACACTGTACTGTACCCTAGGTTATAACAGAAAGTTTCCAATGTGGTGCAGCAAGAGACCCGTTAACCAAAACAAACCTTCGTCTTGTGGCCCATATCTTACATCTTCACGTCACCTTCCTGGAATGAATAACATTTTAGCAACTAATAAATTAAATACTCTGGGCACTAATATTATATAATATGTATACAGTACTATACAGTATTATATTATACAGGAACTCATTAAATCTTCAAACATTTACAAACAATATTATGGTTAAATTAAGACATTTCCATAAAACTTATTAAAGTAAATAAAGAAACACTTTAGAAAATCTTACCTCGACGAATGACACGAGGAACTTCATTAACCACGATCAGCGAGGCAGCAATATGGTAGTTGTCTGAACACTACAGTAACAACCAATTGGAGCCGTAAACTGTAAACAAAATAACCGTTACTCTTTTTGTAGAAACTCAGATAATTTTTTGTTCCAACATGTTGGAGACGAAACAACCTTGTAAAGGATTGCCAACACGGTTTTATGCCGGGGCGCTCCTGCTTAACACAATTGCTCAAGGTACTGGATATTTGGACCCATAGTCTGGAATGGGGTGGTAATATAGACAATATTTACCTAGATTTTGCCAACGCTTTCGACAATGTACAAGAAAGGCTGAAAATCAAACTGGAAGGGTATGGAATTCGAGGAAATGTCCTAGCATGGATAGAAGACTTTCTACATGACCGCAAGCAGTGTGTGGCGTTTATTGGCACAAAATCGTCATCCGTACCTGCCACAAGCGGGGTACCACAGGGCAGTGTATTGGGCCCGCTGTTGTTTGTTTGTTTCATAATGACATGCCTGACGTTGTACACTCCTCCACACAAATGTTTGCGGATGTCGCCAAGTTATTTCGGGAAATCAAGAACCAAGCAGACTGCGAAGAGCTGCAGAAGGACCACAAGTTAACTCTGGTCAACAACTTTCTTAATACCACTTACTAGTCACTAATGGATAACACCTGGTAAATTCACAAGTTATATCCCACTGCCATAAGGGTTTAATTATCTATAAACAACGACATTGTGAAGAGTCTTGTGATTTTTCCTTTCCCAGAGAATTAAAATACCATCGAAGACAGAGTTTGGTTCGGTTAGGTTTGAATCCCACCAAATTGTTATTTTCCCCGAGAATTAAAACCTCACCATCGGACACATGATTTGGTTAGGTTAGGATCCCACCAAATAGTGACAAAAATGTAAATTTCTTGTCAAAAAATTAACTGCAATTTTACCGTAAAGTTCCCAAAATGTCTCAAAAGCTAATTTTTTACTGAAAACTGTAATTTAACTAGAATTAAAAAGTACCACATTCTTATAACTAATTTTTTTACTTCAATTAAATAAAAAAGACCGAAATACTTCCTCAAACAAATTTAACTTCAATTAAATAAAAAATCTTTCCCAAGATAAAAATGGCCCAAAATCCCACCTTGGTTAATATACAGTGGTCTCTCGGTTAACGAGCGCCTCGGTTAACGAGTTACCTCCCATATGATTTTTAACGAGTTTTTTTTATTAGCCGACCTCAACATGTTTTCGCTTGCACTTGGCGGTCAACCAGCTGTAGTATTAGTCTGCCAATACAGTAATCGGTTCTAGGGCTTAAATTCCGTACTATTTTATTAAATATCAATAAGTTTATACTATTCAATAATTTAAAAAGTTTAATAGTGAATCCTCACTTTATGCGGTTAATTCAACCCACAGCAGCCCGCGTAAAGTGAGAAACGCGTAAAGTGAACAACATAACATATGGGATTAATTGAAATAGAGACCGGGCCGACCCCCAAACTCCACTTTTTCAGACACAATACCTACGTTGTAGTAAAAATAACTTCTTAATTTTATGATGGTATGCACACACAATTAATAATTAAGAGAAATATCAATAATATTAGGTTTTTTAACACTTTTCATTAGTAGAAAAGATGGCTGGGCACATGGGGATGGGGGGTTGGTTCCGAGGCAGGCAGATTATTGGCCTCACCTGTATCATGACACATGCAACTCTCCACCCAGCACTACGAACCACGCCATCTATTGTCTTGATCTACCTACCCAGCACCACGAGCAACGCCATCTAGGGACGAGACACGAGTATGACTCGTCTTAGTTACCACTCCCGGGTTTCCCTTCTCCATATCCTGGTTGTTGCGTCACCTCCTCAAAGTCTTCTTTGTCAGCTCCAATTCGAGGAGAGAGCACTTGGCTCTGGGAAGTGAATGATGGTGATCATTTTATCCCCTAAAACCTAATGGCATAAAGTGACTACTCAAGGCCTCACAATACCTTCTGTACTCGTCAGCCATCTCAGCTCCTCACTTAAGTATTTGTAATCTTGTATTGCCTCCCCCACGTCCACCTTGCTTCAAAATTGTTTATGTTGTATTAATATGTATATACTGTTAATGTTTAGGTTAAGTATGGTTAAGGGTAATTTATAGGAAGCTGAATATTTTGTTAAGGGATTTATGGTACTTTATTATACACAACGAAAACTCCCATCCTTTGTCTACCCTTTTATAGTCCGATTGTCTTTGTTTTTTTTTATTGTTGCCTGTTGGGATCTGGGTAGACGTATAACTATATTCTAAATCCCCAACTCATAACACTATCCACCACAGAGGCTTGCAGGGCCTCTTTGTCAAACCCCTCAAAGTCCATATAAGTCCATATCCTCACTATAATTATCACTATCACTGACTTGGGCCGGCTGTGGTGGGTGAAGAACTCGATGTTTTGATGACTGGGTGACCTTGAGCGCACCCTGCTTGTGCCGCTCTCCGCGTAAAGGGGTACACGCACCGCGGAATGTGAGCATTCCGTGTTCGGCAGGGTACCGCGTAAACGTGGAAACGCGGAATGTGGGACCGCGTAAAGCGAGGGTTGACTTTATTAAATTTCTTAAGTCATTTTAACAATAATTGAACATAACTGAAGGTAAAGTCACTAGTTTTATGTGCGCCATCCAGCCTTTTAACACACCAAACCGGCGTTAGTCTCTCTCTGTTTTCAGTGGAGGGAACATCTTGCTTGAGACTCTCTTCAACTAAATGCTTTTTTTTCTGTGTTTCCAAGCAAATTATTGGTCATTTTGAAATTTATTTTACATATTGACAATATATAGCACAGTGTAGTGTTATTTTAAAGAAAATATTCTTTATTTACAGCTAGTTTAACTTTAAAAATCACGTGTTGACATTGTTTGAATCTAGCATGGGGCCTAAGAGATCAAGAAAAGCGATTTCAATCCAAACCAAGCAGGAAATTATAAAAAAAACATGAACAAGACATTAGAACAAATGTGCTTAGCAAAGAATATGGCATGTAGACATCAACTGTGTCAACAATTCTTGCACAGAAAGACAAATTTAAAGAAGTGAAAGTGAGAGACAAATCTACCAGAGTGTTTAAAAGTAGATCCCTAATCGCAGAAACTGAGAGGTTACTTATCATCTGGATTAGGGAAAAACAGATGAAAGGTGATTCAGTTTCTACTGAATTCATTTGTGAAAGAGCCAGGGAGATTTACGAACATTTAAAGGAAGATCAACCTGGTTCTTCAGGCACAGAATTTGAAGATTTTCGGGCCAGCAAAAGCTGGTTCGAAAAATTTAAGAAAAGAAGTGACATTTTCAGTGTTGTTAGGCATGGTGAAGTTGCTAGTGCTGATAAAGAAGGGGCAGCAAAGTTTTTAGATGAATTTAAAAAACTGATGGAAGAAGAAAATTATCTTCCACAGCAAGTGTTCAATGTGGACGAAACTGGGCTGTTCTGGAAAAAGATGCCCAAAAGAACATTCATCACCAGAGATGAAGCCTCTTTACCTGGGCATAAACCCATGAAAGACCGTCTCACTCTATTGCTTGGTGCCAATGTTTCAGGGGATTTCCGACTGAAGCCCATGCTTGTCTACCACTCTGAGAACCCCAGGGTGTACAAGCAACAGAAAGTGGTAAGAACAAAGCTTGGAGTTTATTGGAAGTCCAACCGTAAGGCATGGGTGACAAGACAGCTCTTTAATGAATGGGCTGTTGATGTGTTTTGCCCTTCTGTCAAGAGCTACCTAACCACCAATAAACTCCCTTTAAAGGCTCCTCATGGATAATGCCCCTGGTCATGACCCTCTACTTGCCAGAACTTTGGAGTATCAATTTGACTTTGTCAAAGTGTTGTTTTTGCCTCCCAACACTACATCAATCATACAGCCAATGGACCAGAATGTGATCAGCAACTTCAAGAAGTTGTACATGAAGAAAATGTTTAGGAGGTGTCATCAGGCAACTTCCAATGATCCTGAACTAACACTGAAACAGTTCTGGAAGACAATTCAACATCCTGGAGGCTGTAAAATTGATTGTGTCATCATGGCAAGAAGTCTCCACTAGATCCCTCAATTCTGCATGGAAAGCACTGTGGCCATCAGTAGTCCATGATTTTGAGGGATTTGAGGAAGAAACAGAGTTGGACCAGGAGATTGTGTCCATTGGTCAGTCATTGGGCCTTGAAGTGGAGGAGGAGGATGTGGAAGAGTTTGTGATGTCTCATGAGGAGGAACTTACTCCTGATGACTTGAAGCAACTGGATGAGATATTACAGGTAGAGGCTGACAGTGGTGAGGAGGAAATTGAAAGTGATGACCATATGTCAGCTAAACAGTTGAAAGATGTGATTTACTACTGGGAGAAGTTCAGGGAACTGGCTTCAAAGCACCCAGAAGTGGAAAAAACTGAACTAACTTTGTGTCAAGTTGAGGACTCAGTGGTCTCCTTCTTTAAACATAAGTTAATGGTGAGGGGGACAGATGCCCCACAGACCACAATTGACACTTTCTTCAGTAAAAGGCAGAGGGAACAAGATGCTATCCCTCAGCCTTCCACTTCAAGAAGGAGAGAGGATGTTCATGGTGGAGAATCTGTCAGTCCAGAGGTTCCTAACATTTTCATGGAAGGTGACTCACCTTCCAAGAAGCAGTAAAATGCTTCTCCTCCACCTCCACTTCCTTCTCTTCTCCCTTCTCCTCCTCCCACTTCAAATGCACATCATCATCATCATCATCCAGGAGCCTTCTACATACAAACCTCAAAGTAAGTGTACTTTTCTACCATTTTTTTTTAATTTAGGCAATTTTCGGTGAGCTGGAACCAATTACCCAAAAACCCATTGAAACAATGGTTTCGGTTAAAGAGATTTTCGGTTAACGAGCAACCTGCTGGAACGGATTGTGCTCGTTAACCGAGGGACCACTGTATAATAAAAGTATTTTATTAATAAATATTACATAATATAAATAAATTATACTTTAATTATAATGTTTGATTATTGATTAAATTCCCCCTAATAGATATATATTAATATTAAACTAAACTAAAGTCAGTGACTGGAGAACCGAATAGCTTGACAACATTTACAATTTTACTAAAATAAATTTAAACAATAAAATTTTGTGTTGAACTATTTTAAGTTTATTTATTAATATTTTATTAATATATAACACTACAGTATATAGATTCAGTTAACGAACGACTCCATGGAACCAACTGTGTCGGTTAATGGAGGGGCCACTGAGGATATTTTAGCGACCCTCCC